TCTCTCTCTCTCTCTCTCTCTCTCTCTCTCTCTCTCTCTCTCTCTCTCTCTCTCTCTCTCTCTCTCTCTCTCTCTCTCTGTGCCAGGTACTAACCTGTGAAAGGTGGCGCCTTGCTGCTGGGACGCTGAAGACGAAGCTGGAACGATGGTGTCACTGGTAAGCTCCCGGGTAAGTCACTTGGCCTCCGCCACTCTCCTCTCTCCTAGCGCTAGCCTAAGGTCCTAGCAGCGCCCAGCGCTGGGAGACTACTCCTATCGTCACATACTACCGCTACCGCATCTCCGGAGAGTGCTGCTGCTGAATGCCTGAAGACTGAATGCCAGCCTCCTAGGCAGACCAGCTATATATAGTGCTGGTCCAGCTGGGAGGCTGCCCTCACCAATGCCGAACGGCGCCAGGGCCTGGCGCCCAAACGGTCTGGTGCCTAAGAGTTGGCGCCCAAATTCGAAACAGCCGAATTTGAAAAAGGCCTACCGCGGCCTGGGCGCCTACTGGGCCTCTACCGGAGTCTGGCGCTAAAACAGGCGCCAGGGCCTACCTATTGGGCCTACCAACCTACCAGACTAAGGGCCCCTTCCTACTCTGAACCGGCACAGGGCCCGAAAGGTCCCTACCGAACCCCTATCCCCCCTGGGCGGGCCCTGCAGGGGCCCGTGTGGTACTCAACATGCCACACCCCCCCTTCTTAAAGATCGAGCTTACATGTGAGGGTGGAGCTGTCTGTCGGAGGGAGGGACCAGAGTCCGGGTGGAGGGGAGGTCGTGAAGCTTCCTTAGCTAGTCGTTGCCGCTCGTAGTGGGCGTAGATCAGTGGCGCGGATGCTTGCGAATCTTCTCGCAGAATTCGTTGTGTGTCGTCACGATTGCATGCTTTAAAGGTGGCTTTGTACTGTCTTGGCGTGTTGCCGTACTTGAGATCCGTGATGACGCGGTCTACTTCCTGGTGACCATCCATAGACGGAGGGTCTTGCGATGGTCGGCCCGGGAAATCATCACTCTTAGTCGGCGTATATGTAGCCAGCTTTGAGGCATGGAAAACCGGGTGGACCGGTAGATGCGGTGGAATCTCAACCACGAATGAGGGGCCGTCGGGCTCATCGCCCGGGGCTGTTTTTACGGTCCAAGGTCCAAACCACTTGGGGAGTAGCTTGCGCGAGATGTCTTGCTCAAGTGCAAACTCTTCCGTGGAGACCCAAACAAGGTCGCCGGCGAGGATACGACATGGCACACGATGCCTATTGGCTTGCGGCTGCATGCGAACTTGAGCCTTTTGCATGTTTATGCGGGCTTTAGCCAGCGCAAGTCCCGGTACTTCCGAACGGAGGCAGGAGAGCAAGGGGCGTCAATGTCGGCAGTCCGTGGGAGTAGGAAATCAGCGAAGATACGGCCTTTCCGGCCACCGTGGTGCAACTCGGATGGAGTTACGTTGATCACCGGATGCAACAAAGTGTTGTAGGCGAACTCGATGTCGGGGAGGCGGTCAACCCAATCCTTCTGGTCCGGACGGATGAGCGCACGAAGCATCATTTGAGCGGTTTGATGTGCCCGCTCCGTTTGCCCGCCTGTTTGTGGGTGCCGAGCCGAACTCGGTTTCATTTCGGTGCCGGATTCCTTCATAAAAGAAGTCCAAAATGCCGACATGAAGTGAGTGTCATGGTCGCTAACGATGTCTTCCCGAACGCCGTGGCTGCAAATCCAGCCGGTGTGCAAGAGTCGGTCAAGCTCGGGAGTCGGCGCGTAGTACTTGCAAGGAAGAAATCGCGAGTACTTAATCGGTCAACGACTGTGAGGATGTCGTTGTGCCCGAAGTAGTCGGTGACGTCCATAGCAATGGAGAGGTCGGGTTCCCGCAGGATGGGCAACGAGCGCAATTCGCCGTAGGGATTGCAATTGCGGGGCTTGCTTCGTCGGCAAACTTCGCAAGAGTTGCAATACCGAGTGACGTCGGTAATGAGGTCGGGCCACCGGAATTGTTGCCGAAGTCTTGCGATCGTTCGGTTGACTCCGAAGTGGCCGGCAAGTTGCGAGTCGTGGTACTCGCCGAGAAAGCGCGTCTCGAGGCGATGGTCTCGTGGGGCGCATAATAAGTCCTTGCCTCGTGAGTGGAGAAGCAATTTGTCACGGTTGGCCTTGTACTTGGCTTGCCGTAGCCGCTCCGAGACGGTTTGCAGGTGGTCCACATGCTCGTCCAAACTCCGGCTGTACACCAAGATATCGTCAAGGTAGATGAGTACGAATCGGTCCAGCATATGGTGAAATTTCGTTGTCATTGCTGCTTGGAACATGGTCGCGACATTCATAAGGCCAAAAGGCATAACCAACCATTCGAAATGGCCATATCGCGTCTTAAACGCGGTCTTGTAGCGGTCCTCCCACCGGATCTCGAGTTGGTGATATCCCGATTTGAGGTTGAGCTTGGAGAAGAATTGAGTGTCGCCCAACGGTTTGAGAAGATCGTCGATTCGTGGAAGAGGGCCGGTGTTCTTAACGGTTTGCGCGTTGAGCTTCCGATAGTCAATGCACAACCGCCAGTCCTTGTTCTTCTTCCGGACGAAGAGAACGGGAGCACCATAGGGCGAAGAGATATGGCCCCGGCCTTTCTCAAGAAGGTCGTTGAGTTGTGCCCGTAGCACACTTAACTCTTCCTCACTTATGCGGTAGATGCAACCACGTGGAGGTATGGCCCCGGCCTCGAGAATGATCTCGTGGCGGATTGCTCGGTCTGGAACGACTCCGTGCGGGGCTTCAAAAACGTCGCCGTAGGTGTCGGGAAGCTCGGTGATGCGTGAGTCCATCGATGCGTCCGTCGATGGATTGTCATAGGGAGGGAGGGTGTGGAGAAAACACAAGCCCATCTCCTCGATGTCGTCCCTTGTGATAAAGGCTCGAATGCTCGCGGCGGACACCACGTGACAGCTGATCGAAGGGTGAGGTGGAAGAACCGTGCATGGGACTAGTACCCCGTTCCGATCATGAATGTGAACGGTGCGGCGGTGGAAGTTCACCGAGTGATCCTCACTTTGCAGCCACGACATGCCCAAAATCATGTCGAACTTGGTGTCCAAAATGTCGAAGGACACGGCCTCGCTTGCGTGCGGGGCGAAGTACACGGGGACGGAATCAATGCACGAGTCGATTGACTTGTGTGTGTGACCGTTGGCCAATGTGACTTGCATGGGCTGCGATTTCCTCCGATTGCGTGGCCCAAGGCCAGCGCGTACCATAAAGTCTTGGCTCATATAGTTGCGAGTTGCTCCGCAATCCATCAAGGCGCTACTGGTTGCTTCTCCAATCTGAATGCGTATGGACAACAATGGCGCGTTGTTGTTGTCGTACCGTTGTGTCTCGAACTCGCGATCGATCTTCGCAAGGTAGTTGCGAAGGTCGACAACCTCTACTCCGGCGTCCATCAACGGAGCTGGTACTGCAGTGTGCAAATACTCCCGCAATTGTGCCATTAGCGCATTGCAATGCGGTTTCGACAATCGATCGGTCGGGGGAAGGGGCATCCATTGGAAGTTCGTGATCGTCAACGGGTTGAGTTCCTGAAGTTTTAACCATGACGTCGAGTCCCCGGCGAAAGTTTTCGGCAAAGCTGCCGAATCAGTTGCCGATGTTGATGAAACTATGCGTGTGGTGGAGTCTTGCACGTGGAGTGGCTGGTCCAACGGTGGGACCAAGTGGACAGTGTAATCCTCGTAAGTGCACCGAGGACTTGCGACATCCGCGTTCTCCCCGGATGTGTAGGAGGCCGCTAGCAAAGCGGCCGAATCCGGCGGAGTGAGAGGTGGAGTCGCCTCACCTCCCGCGCGGCTCAGTTTCCCGAGCTGGTTCGAGTTCGAATGTCCTCCTTGCCTTGATTTTGGCATTGGGAGGTCTTTTGCTTGGTGCTGTTGCACCAACAACAACATCCATACCGGCTGCGCCACTTGTATTCGACCTCGGTCAAGCTAAACTTAACCCATGGTCCTGGCTGTCCGTTTCTGACCGGTGATGTTGTTTTCACCTTCCCTTTTCCACGGGGTTTGTTGCTGCTTCGCGGCTGGACGGCGGCCGCCGATCTCCCTCACGTGATGCTGGGGTGGCTGCCGGGTCTTCCACAAGGTTGTCCGGTTGGACTGCAGCGACTTGCTGCGGACGCAGACCAAATTTTCCTTTCTCCACATAGGCTGGCTGTGCCACAAATTTTTCATGTGCTGCCGCCCGGTTGGTCTTGATGATCTACCGAGCCTTGTCGATGATTTCGGCGAAGGTCGTGTACTTTCGTGATCACCGAGAGCTAGGTTCAAGGCAGCGCACGACCGGTTGTAGAACTCGCGGCGCAGACGCGAAAATGGGAGGTGAAGATCGGGTGTTGCCACGATCTTCTGCCATTCCGTGAGCCAGTCGCGTGTCAGTGTGTTGCCTTGGGTCATGGCGAAGAGGCGGTTGATGGCGAGCGTCGAGGCGTCGTCAACGATAAACCGCTTCTTACATTCCTTCGTCAGATCTTTCCATGAGATCTTGGTGTGAAGGTTGGCGACCTGGACGCCTTGGATGGTTGCCATGTGGTTTAGCCAAATCTGGCATCCTCCGTTGGAGTTGAGGTACAACGCCGATATGTACGAGTAGTCAGGGACCCGATGAATCCGAGTCTCCGTCGTGAAGGATTGCCACCGGATGACTGCATCCTGCTGCGTATAGTCATCAAACTTCTCGATCCGGAACGTCGGCATCTTGTACTGTCGTGGTGCACCGGTACTGCCATCGTTGGCGGGCGGCTGTTGTAGCTGCCTAATCTCGGTCTTCAAGGTGTTGAGCTGCTCGCTGATGGTGGCTGGTGCTGTGAAAGTGTTGATGTCGTTGAGCATTGCGAGTACGTGGTCGAGTTGTTGCTCCAACTGGCGGGCCGAGGCTGCATTGCTGGGTTCGCCAGCATCGGGTCTTGGTGCTGCTTGCTCCAAGTCCTGTACACGGGTATGAAGTGCCCGTGTGGCATCCTCATGCAGATCCTTGTGGTTCCGCACGGCCTGTCGGAGATTCTCCAGTTCCCGGTGCTGTTTCTCTAACTCGGACTGCAGTTGGTTACAAGTGTAAACCAACGGGGTGACGAGTTTGGAGAGGAAATCCTTGTGTTGCTCTTCCGCTGTTGCGTCGTCGTGGCCCTCGGATGGTTCAAAGTGCCAAAACTTGAGCCTGTCGACGCTGGCGGCTTCGTGCCGCTGCAGCAGATCTTGGGCCTGCTTGCGGCGGGCCTGAGCATCCGCGTCAGCTGCGGCCTCAAGCCGCTGCTTTTCAGCTCCTGCCTCAGCTTTAACCTGTAGGCGGGCACCCTCGGCTTCCGCCTGGCGTTGTTCCTCAGCCTCGATCTGCGCGAGCTGATCTTGGACCTGCTTGCAGAAATCGGCAATGGATTCGCTGGCAAGCTGGCCCGACATGCCCAAAGCTGGAGCCGGCATGGTGACGGGGCACTGCTGCTGCCGTGGCACTGCTGTTGACGTGGTACTGCTGACGTGGCACTGCTGCTGACGTGGTACTCACCAAGCCGGAAAAGCGGACAAAGGGCTGGGTGGGATGGAAACGCAGGTAGGCAAGCAAACTGCACTTTCCATTCCTGGTCCTAATCAACAGAAAAAATTAAAAAAATAAGAGGAAGGATTCCTCTTTTTTTTTTTTTTTTTTTTAACATCTGTCGATCTAATATCAGTGAGGCATTCTGGGGGCGTGAACGAGTGAAATGTAGGCAAAGGCTCACAGAATTTCGAATTTTAAACAATAAAATGCGATTCTGGAAAATGAAAAAGTTGTGTGAATAGAATGGAGGTTAGAATTTAGAAAAGAATAAATTGAAGGTAAAAAAATGACGAACTTGCCAATCGAATGCTGACATTGTTGCTTGTCCGAAATTCTCGGAATCCCGAAATTTTCGGATTTCCCGGATTTCGTGAAATCCCGAAATTTACGGAATTCCGGATTTTGCGGAATCGCGAGATTTGCGGAATTCCGGATTTTGCGGAATCACGAAAGTTCCGAACTTCGAATTGGTAACTTCAGAAAAAGAAAAAAAAAAACGCTGGAAGTTGACAAATTCCTACTTGGTTAACCAATCAATCAATCAGTCAATCAATCCATGAAACTGGCTCCTTGTTTGGGCAGATCCTCTGATTGAGAGGTCTGCACCCATACCAAACTGTCACATACCGATATGGTGCAGACCAGAACCAAGAATCGACCTCTCTCAGATAGAGCAAGATAGCACAGCGGAAGACTGAAATACCAATAATCAGACCAATCATTGACGCAATGCAGACTTAACGTACATCATCATCATCATCAAAAGGTGTGAACTGGGCGCCTACTGGGCCTCTACTGGAGTCTGGCGCTGAAACGGGCGCCAGGGCCTACCTACTGGGCCTACTGACCTTCCGGACTAAGGGGCCCTTCCTATTCTGAACCTACACAGAGCCCGAAAGGCCCCTAACAAACCCCTATCCCACCGGGGCGGGCCCTGCAGGGGCCCGTGTGGTACTCAATATGCCACAACTGTTATGGCGCGCGGGGATGTCGACAGCTCGTGCTCAACCACAATCAACGTGGTGAGCCTTGGACAAATGAAATGGGTACCCAAAAAAGCCAAAGTGAACACAGTTAAGAAAGGGATTTAGAAAATCAGAGACCAAATGGGGTCACTGACTGGAAAAAGGAATTTGGCGCATTGAACATATATGGGGGAGCCACGCAAAAAATGGAAATGAGAAAGCGACCTATGGGCCAAATTAAAAGGAGTACACCTACAAACAAACATTAACCACATTGTTGATTGCATCCCCTTACGCTGGAGAAACCTGCTAAGATCGGAACAAAAATGGCAGGACGACGATTGGGCCACGACTAATGACTCCCCTGCGGTACAAGAATTCCTTGCCTTCAAGAACTATGAAACTCGTGACAACAACTGTATCTGCTGTGATATCTTCACCTTGGATGAACTAGCAAACCCAGTAAGCCACATCAATTAAAAAAGTAGAGCAAAAGGATCTTTTAGAACCAGAAACATGAGAAGAATCAGAATCGTAGAAGGAGAAACAGAACAACAATCTTGTGTCATTGGTGACTTTCGCACGTGCGCCGGTCCGGCAAGCGCTAACACAACGCTAATTCGCGCGTGTAGCGGTTTCCAGGCGAAACAGGAAATCGTTGCACGCGAACTTTCGCGCTCTTCGACCTTCGAATTCGAGGTGAGAGACGAGGGAGACAAAGGGTGAGCACGTGGCACCACAACACGCCACACCTTGCCCCAAGGTTATCATAGGGCGAGAAAGAAGGAGGAGGAAGATCGGAATGATTGAGTGTGAGGGAAGCTGGGAGTCCTAAGAGAAGGAAAGGACAAAACGGAGCAAGGATCGAGCAAGGGAAAGGACGACGAGAGGGATTTTTTCCAAACACGGAAGAACAATAGACATAACCGACATGAGCAAGGAATCATTGCACGCTGAAGCAATACGCGATAAAACAGTCGGGCGTGGCCGCCCCAAGCTAAGCATAGGGACGTCAAGCGTAGGAGAGAGAAGGGGTGGAGAAAGAAGGAGGAGGAAGTTCAGAATGTTTGAGTGTGAGGGAAGCGGGGAACCCTAAGAGAAGAAACGGACAAGAAGGGGCAAGGATTGAGCAAGGGAAAGGAAGGCGAGAGGGATTTTTTCCAAACACTGAAGAACAACAGGCAGAGCCGACACGAACAAGGAATCATGGCGCGCTGAAAAGTACGCGACAAAACAGTCCTGCGCCATCATCATGCACGAGATTTGAACAGCCTCGAGTGGATGTTCAAGGTAAGATCAGACAGCGCCATTCAACCTCATCGGCTGGTACACAGAGGACAGCGGATCAAACCAGTACGGACCAAGGACTCGATTTTGTCAAGAGATAGGTAGTACCACACACCCATTTCAATCGTCAGACCAAATAGTAGGAGTCGGGCGTTACTAAATAAGAAAGAAGAACCTAGCCAGCACGATTATCCCTGGGAGAATTCAACTATCCCCCGCATCCCACCACTCATCAACGCTCGCAAAAGGAACGCGTTTATCCCTCACCACTCCCCTCATCTCGCCACGTACTCGCCCAGCCTCCCCGAAGCTATAGTCCCCAAGATAGCACAAAAATAACACTCCCCAACCCACACCACACAACAACGAGCACCACGCTCACCACCAATACACTACCCTAGCCCCTAACATCGCCCTCCACCCCTCCAACCCGGTCCCCCCCGTGACCCCGCCATCACACGACGAATTCCTATAGCGTCCTGAAACGAGAACCAAACAAGATAAAGCAATCAGGTTTATTTATTCCTTCAATTATTGTCGTTATTACTTTGATTACATTCTTTGATTCATTTAAATTCTTTATTCTTTGGACGTTGAGGAGGGGAAGTCCCTCCCCGAGTAGTACTCCCCCCCTTACAGGGGGGAAAAGGAATCTCTGCCCGCTTTTTCAAGGACCGCCAAAAACAGAGAGTCCTTCATTTTTTAACCAACCCGACGAAGATACCTCCATCCAAAGGATGAGATTGAAAGTTCGGTGCCCTGTGACGAACCAATTTCTGTTCCGCGCGACTTTCTGCGCGATGACAATGAGTGGTCCTAAGTTGGGAAGGTTGGGCCAATTACGGGAGATCGAGATTGAGGGAGAATTGCATCAGTGTCCTCGCTTTTTCGTCTTTTCTCTTTCGTCGCTTCTTCTCGGATGGCTGGATTCAGGGTCGGGCAAGCCCCGGGATGATTGATTGAGTGGCCGTCGCGCCGACCAGGCGCGATTAATAAGGGTTGACGCCGCTTCTTTTTTGTGTTGTTGTCGGATTTTAGGCGCGGAAGACCGCGTGGGAATTTTTGCTTCATTCTTTTTGAATTTTCCTTTTTGAATCTTGCCGAGCCCCAATGGCTCTCGGAACTTCGGATTTTCTTTTCGGAATTTGTGCTTCTTTTTGCATTAGCTAGGAATTTAGGAATTTTGGGAATTTAGGATTTTTCTCTTGCCGCGCAGCGCTTTTTGGCTTACGCGCTTCTTTTAGCGGCTGCAACGGAGCTCTGATTAGCCGGCGCCCTTAATCGTGTGTGTAACTGTAATTTTGGGCGGGCGCCATTGTAACTGTATCTTCCTTCTTGAACTCCGTCTTTCCCGCTCTCGCTTTTTCTCTTGCTGTGTCTAGCTAGCTCGCGGACTGCATGCTCGGATCGATGCATGGAGGGAGGCTACGTCCCCCACGCCGCGATCTGACCATGCAGAACGCAGGCGCTCCCTCTCCTAATCTCCTTCCTAAGTCCTTGCAATTCCGTGTTCTTCGCGCATGCATGCACGCTATAAATTCCGGCTGCGCGATTAGATAGCTCTCTTAACCAGTTGTTGGAAGCTCGGGGAGCGCGATCAGTGAGGGTCGGCTCGCGAGTGAAGTAAGAGGTGAGTTGAAGTGGGAGTCGGGCGACCCGACGAGCTGGTGCCGAGCGTGCGGGGTTGACGTGGGCCACGACGGACTGTGGGCGCCGACGAATCTGACGGGTGCGGGAGGACTAAGCGGGGTGACGACTTCGTGGGTTGGTGCGTGACGACGGACTGTCCACATCGAAGAGAAAGAGAGAGGGAGCTGAGGTTGATGGACGTGGATTTGCAGTTTTTCTTTGTCTTTTCTCCCTCTTTGCTTTTGTATATAAATTTTGATCTCGGCTCAGGGCGATTCGCCCGTCTCCTTTTGTTTTCGGAATCTTGGCTTGGTTTTCGCCCACACTCGTTTTGTGATTGATCTCGATTTCGTTTGTTGCGTGTTTTGTCGAATGAATGTCATGTCCATTGCGTGTCTTTTTTCCTTGCCTTTGCTTGTCGTTTTAATACACTCATGAGCGTAGTAGGAATTTTTGTGTAGTCGTCAATACTGCTTCCATTGCTATTTACCCTCTTTTTAGCTATTGTTGTTGCTGCACCTTGCATGCTCAGGAACGATTACGTACGAGATCACGGAATAATTAGATGACCGGGTAGTGTTTGTCCAGAGACAAGCGAGTACCTCGCGGGGATGCGTGTAAGCGCGATCTGATTTGCGCAGCCTACACGCATCCACGCGCGCCGATTCGCGGACATTGACGGACTTGACACCTTCGATATCAGGTAGGTGGGAACTGTTCCTTCCCCCACGCACCTAAACGGATAGGAGTTTCCGATATCACATCGGAAAATCCCCTTGCCGATTAGACGCGTGCGGGAGGATTCCATCACCGTGCAATGATAAGATGCCAAGCTCTTGGGATTCGGAGTACTTCGACCCTTGGGTGAGGCAAAGATACCCGGAATTCCCCTGCCTAACCGAGAATCGATTGTGCCCCAGGGAATTTCCCTGTGCGACAACCAGCGATCCGAGGTGCCCCGATTATTCAACCACGGATAACTCGCACTACTTCATATCCCCCGGTTTCGTCGTTATCACTACCCATTTCCCTCCCTTCCGTCTTCTCCTC